TCTGTCTATGGTAGCCTATTTTGGTGCTGAGGTTTTTTCCTAAATCTAACCTAAATTCTTCTTGCTGCAGCTTAGCCTCAATTGTTATTTACTAGAAAATTTGCATAGTTGCCCTTTTATACTTGAAGATTTTTTTTTTTTGAGTTCGAGTCTCATTCTGTCGCCCAGATGAGTGCAGTAACTGCTCCTGGCCACCTCAGCCTCAACCTGCTAGGCTCCGGCGAGCCTTCCGCCCCAGCCTTCTAAGTAGCTGGAACTACAGTCGTGCACTACCATACCCGGCTAATTTTTTGATTTATTGTAGAGATGAGGTCTCACCAAGTTGCCCAGGCGGGTCTCGAACCCACGGGCTCAGGCAATCCACTCACCTCAGCCTCCCAAGGCACGGGATTACAGGCTAAGCCACCGAGCCTGGCTTACTTGAAGTATTTTTTTGGGTAGCTCCCTTGCTGTGATTGTCTGTAATATTAAGCCTTTTAGTACTTTTTAAAAAGTAGCCATGTTTGTAGCTCTAATTGGAATGTGCTTTGAATTGGAAAATAGAGATTGGAACCAGCTACAGTTCTGACCTATACTGTGGTTATGATGCCCTGAGCAAGTGGTTTGTTTTTGTTGTTCACAACTCATAGGCCCTGATCTCTGGTCCTTTATCTGCTGTGTTTTAGTCATTTTCCATCTTGTAATTTTTGTAGAGACAGGGTTTGCTCAGTTGCCCAGGCTGGCCACAAACTGCTGGCCTTAGCTGGGCATTGTGGCGCATGCCTGTGGTTCTAGCTACTTGGAAGGCTGAGGCAGAATGATCACCTGAGCCCAGCAGGTTGAGGCTGCGGTGGCCATGAGCATGCCACTGCACTCCAGACTGGGTGACAGAATGAGACTCCAACTCAAAAATAACAAATAAAAACTCCTGGCCTGAAGTGATCCTCGTGCCTTGACCTCCCAAAGTGTTGAGATGGTGTGAGCCACCACACCTGGCTCATTTGTTTTATTCTTATTGGCTTCTGATCTGTTTCCTTGCGCGTATTATATTCTTGACTTATTTTCATATTTACATGATTTTGAATTCTTCATCCAAGTTAGTGACAGTGATGTTTAGAATTAACCACTTAAAGCCAGGTACAGTGGACTGTAGCTTCTTGGGAAGCTGAGATGGGAGGATCCGTGGAGCCCAGGAATTCAAGTCCAGCCTGAGCAACATAGCAAAATCCAATCTCTTAACAAAAAAAGAATCAACCATTTTAGATAAATCTTCAATTACCACCTAAAAGGCTCAGTGTAAAATCCTTATAAGACTGAGGCTGAAAGTGCCATCATTGGTATGCTAGCTTCTTTCCTTCCTTCCTTCCTTCTTTCCTTCCTTCCTTCCTTCCTTCCTTCCTTCCTTCCTTCCTTCCTTCCTTTCTTTCTTTCTTTCTTTCTTTCTTTTTGTTTGCTACTCTAGCTTTGAACTTGGGCCTCTTACAAGATTTATATACTCTTTAATGATCGAATGATAGAGCATGGTGTCCAGTAGAACACTCTGTGATCATGGAAATGTTCTGTATGTGTGCTGTCTAGTGTGGTAGACACCAGCCATGTGTGGCTGTTGAACACTAGAAATGTGGCTAGTGTGATGGAGGAGCTGAATTCTCCATTTTAACTAATTTAGACAGCCTCGTGTGGCTAGCGGCTACCGCCTGTTGGCCAGTGCATTATGGCCTATGTGGTCCCCAGTCCAGGAGTGTGTTAGAAACGCGTGGGAGTGTGTTAGAAACGCGTGTCTCAGGCCCATCTGGTTCTGAGTAGAATAGGACCCACAGGTGATTTCTGTGCACACTCACATTTAAGAAGCACTGATACTTGACTGAACACTGAAGTCTTATGGGGAGTTATAAAAAATACTGATATCTGTGTCCCACCTTCAGCGCTTCTGGCTTAATTGGTATTAGGTGTTGCCTGGGCATTGAGATGGTTAAAATTGTGCAGCAAAACCAAGTGGTGCTCACGCTTTGTGTGCATCTGAAAATGCAGAAGCCCCGGCCTGGCTCTGTCCTGCATCAGCCATCCTGGGTCTCCGTGTTTCTATTCATCTCCACAGATTCTGCTGCACATGTTTTGGGTTTGAGAATCCCCAATCCAGAAGATAGTTTCCCACTTTGTTGGTATCACGCAAGCGAGAATGAAATGCCTTGCTGATCTTAAAGAAAATCGATCTATTACAGTTTTCAGTCCATTTTATTTTATTTATTTTTCTTTTTTTTTTGAGTTGGAGTCACACTCTGTCGCCCAGACTGGAGTACAGTGGCCACTCCCGGCCACCGCAGCCTCGACCTGCTGGGCTCTGGCGATCCTTCCGCCCCAGCCTTCCAAGTAGCCGGAATTACAGGCACGCTACCA